CCGGCTTAGATATGGCCTGAGTCATTCTTCAAAGACATCCCCGAGCTCAACCGAGCGGCCTTCCTCGTACAAGTAGTTTTGCCCCCAGACTCCAGTATTCTCTCACTTCCGTGGCTTCACGGTAAGTAACGAAGGTGCTGCGGTCCTCATACATAAGTGGCAGCTCTGACGCCTCCCCAGTTGCACCGCCCATGAAACTCGAGGGCTATTTTCTGTCAAATGTTCATTTTTAATACCCTGTTTTTCTTTCTTTCACGCTGGATATGTTGGCAGTGGATGACGTGATCAAACGATTAGTGAGCCGAAGGTAGCAGGATATGGCATGAAATGAGCAGTTCTGTGCGGCTGCCAAGGGTCCTTACTTAGGGTGATCTCCACGATTTTGTTTGTTTTTCCCCTCTGAAGAGTCCTTCAGCGACTATAAGTTTGTAACTGTACGCAACTATCCACAATACACAATCGCAAGGTTTGCCTTTAAGTTGAAAAATCAAAAAATGCCTTGTTCACGGAGGTTTCCTGTTTCAGTGCGACCATTAGAGCCAAGGGACAGGTGAGCACTTGGTGGCTAGACCCACGCCGATCCAGCCAACCGCAAGCTATGGCAGAGGGACTACCACCGAAAATGGGCGGGGCACGCATTCTTTACTCAACCAATCACTTCTACTTACCCAAAGCTAATGGTAAGAGTGCTTCAGCTCCCGTAGGTCAGCTGGGTTCCTCTACGGCAAATACATTCAGATATCCACTGAGTTCCCTTGCCCTGAGAGTGTGGCCAGGGTGGCTTAAAACCTTGACGAGGTTATGGGGTTCCGAAATAGCTGCCTATACAGTTTTGAATTCCTAACACCTGCTACCTGGTAAGGACTGAATGAGAATGAACTGCACTTTTGAAAGCCGATCGATAAGGACGGCTTTAAAATGCAGTTCATTCTCTTTGGCAGTTTCTGAGAGATACTTTCTATTATCTCCCTTTCCTCCTGCCACACTTTGGCCTTTGTCACTCCTCTTATGTTCGAAATTCTCATACATTCGTATCACAAAATTTCGAATAATGCCGTACCTTATCTTTGCCGTGTTCCCGTACAGTATCCGTGTCGAAATTGCCGCCAAATGCACGATGTCCTTCTCTTTACATGGATAATATCCTTTCAGGAAATTTTGCCGAGCCTCATCGTAGAGCAGAGTGAGACCGAACTCGTTACACCCGGCCTGAAATAGAACGAACATGACGAATAACGTCATCATTTGGCGTATTTCTAAGCCTGCATTTCAGCAAGTGAGTGTTAATACTTTCGATCATTTTATCCTTAACTTTGATGAAATCGAACTCTCTGTAGGCCTTCACATAGAATCTGCACTTTACAGCACTTTCGTTCAGGCGCCATAATTATTCCCTAATTAGTTTGTCTCTACAATTATATTATTCTTTCGCATGCGGAAGGTGGGAGTAGTGACAAGTGGCGCGCTTACCACTCGCGCGGTCCTGGGTTCGAATCCCAGGTCGACACCCGCCCAGGCCAACCAAGCCTTCTACCCTCCGGGGACGGTAAATTGGTACCAGATTCGTCTGGGAGGATAAAACACTGACTTGTACATCGGCTGGCCCCGCAAGTCATTGTATAGGCCACATCGCATTCAATAAGCTACGATTCTGAATGGAAGTAGAATGCGTGCCGCATCCCACAAAGGGATTGATTAACGGCGAAGACTTTAGACCTTTTTATTATTCTTCAGCATGAGTTCGCTAGGCTTGGAAGTCTTCGCTTCGAAAAACTATTACATTCCCTCCTCCAAATTTTCGAGTTTCTATAAGAAAGTCTAAAGCCTCGAGGATAAAGTCTTCGCCGTTGATCAATCCCTTTTGAGGTAAGCATTCCACTTCCATTCAGAATCACAGTGGTGATTGAATGCGATGTGACACATGCAGCTGAACTTTTGGGGCCAGCGAATGTACAAGTGGAGTTGTCTTATCCTCCCAGATCCCAGGACTAGATCCCAATTCTGTACCAATTTACCGCCCCCCCCCCCCCGGGGTATAAGGCTTGGTTTGACCTGGGCGGGAGCCGATACGGGACTTGATCCCCAGACTGTGCGCGTGATAAGGGTGCCGTTTGCCACTACACCACCTCCACCTCTCTTCCAACGATTCTTCATTTAGACATAAATAATAAGGAGTTTCTATAGTATGGGTGAAAATAGAAGCATTTCATCAGCAGCCTCTCTTCTACCCATTCCACACCTAGACTTATGGCTTTTCAACGACACCATTACATCGCAACTCCCTTCCTGACTCCTGATTTTATCCTGCCTTCAGCCTCCTTTTCATGATTTAGGTTCAATTTTTGGCGGTAGGAACGTTCATGATACCTCTGGTGTAAAACACCGCTGGCCACGGTCACTTTCCCGCGCCCCATTCATCGATATTCTCTTGTGAAAATATATTTTTCAAATTGTTTTCCACGTGAAATGAGTACTTGGCTATTTCGGTTCTAAAATTAGGAATATAGAGGGAACGCGAATTAAATTAGGGAATTCTCATCAGTTTCTGAACGATATCCCAGTGGGCTGACACGACTTCTTATTTCCGTTCACAGTGTACTACAGGTAGGTGTTGTCGTGAAAGCTGACGTTGTTTTACTTCAGAAGCCTTCCATTCCCCAGGGGTTGTTATTTGGGTTACTGTTGACGTGCCTCGTTCGGAAACATAGCAACAATGTCTTATACAACGGCTGGTCCCGGAAGGTCTGGCACACATGGCAGATCGCCATTCAAAACGCTATTATTATTTAATATGGTGCTGTCCCGGAGCCTCATTGTAATCTGAACATGAAACACGTGAAAGAGGCGCCAAAAAATTTATTGCAAAAAACTCAAAAGACTCAAAAGAATTCTGATTTTGAGATTTTGATTGGCTATTATGATTGTAAGTGGAAGATAAATGCGTAGCGCATCCTAGGGAAGGATCAATCAACAAAAAAAAACTTTATCATTCAATTTGCCTGATCTCCGAACATTTCTCAATACTCTGGTCAGCTTTTGGACAATCGTCGCTTTGTTTTATGTTCACCAATGACTCATATAGGCTTGCTCCTTCGAAATTCTATGGGACACAGCGATACTGCTTCTCAGTAGTAAAACCATCGTTAAAAAGGAGGAAGGCAGGCCCAGGAGCTGCGGGCGAGCGCACCTATCGATAGGTTGGAATACGGTATCAGGAGCCCGTACATCATTTAAATTGAAAAAAATAAGGAGCCCTTAATTTTCATTCTACGGAGCTGATGTTACATTCCGAAGACATCTTGTCAAACTGACATTCAATGTCATCGTTCCCCGTCGGCTTCACATACCCCACTAGAAAGCTATTCCTCGTACAAAGGAGACCATTCGGAGCAAGTGGGTCTTTGTCTTTCTCGCGTACACTTGGAAAGCGCCAAACACGATTGGAAAATGACCAAGAACTGCACAGCTGCATGGATAGCTGTTTTTTCTACCCAAACAGAGCACAGCTGCACTGTTGGGAAATCCGGTCCTATTAGGTTTTTTCCTGAATGTCTCGGTGCTTGTCATCGCTATCGGCTTGAGCAATCGCTAAAACAGAGGAATTATAATGGGTACGACAAGAATTCGGACATATGCTGAAAGAAATGAAGGATAGAGCGATGCAGGCGGGCATTCCTTTCGAGAAATGGATCTAAAATTGTAGAATTTCATAACAAGTTACCTATAAACGCCATGAAGGATCAGCATTGCAGGCTTCTAGGTACAAAAACGCCATAACCCCTGACTTTCCACTAAGAATCGCTGAAGGTCCTAGGCGCGTTGTGTTTTGGCATGTATGAGCAAATCGAGCTTACGAGCGGTATTGAAGTCGGCTTTTGTGTGTACTCCGACGGGTCTACTACCAGTTGGTAGAAGCAAAGGCATGAAATGGTTCACAGGCCAGGCTTTGACTTCCGAATGGTGCGAGTGTTAGCGGGTAGCGTCTATAGTAAAGAGACTACAGCCGCCTGCTACTCTCTTTAGTGGTGGGTGGACGATGGCAGGTCATTCCTTATTTTTGTTGCTTAGTAGCGGAAATGGTGTAGTGGCACGCTTACCGTGCACGTGGGCCGGGGTAGACCTCGGATCAGCTCCCGCTCAGGCCAACAAAGCCTTCTTTCTGCTGGGAACGATGAATTGGTACCGGATCAGTCTGGGAGGCTGAAATACTGATTTGTGCATCGCTTATCCCCAATAATCATTGTATAGGCCACATCGCATTCGAAGAGCCACTACGATTCTGTATGGTGATGGAATGCGCCCCCTATTCCACAAAGAACTGGCAAGAACGCCGAATCCTTCTCTAGCCTTCACTTTTCTGTTGGAGAGTGTAAACCGGTCGATCATCCTTCGGTAAGCGCCTCGTATTCTACTCCGCAGTGACTGTTTGAATGCGCTATGGCCTGTACCATGACTAGCTAGGGCCAACCGGTGCACAAGTCGGTTGTTTCAGGTGTTTTCATTCTCCTAGACAAATCTCGTACCAATCAAGTGAACACAGAGGCATGGAAAACTTGTTGAACTCTTCGCGGGGGCAGCCGCGAACTTGACCGCAGAAACTCACTACACGCAGTGAGTCCCTTCCCACTTCGACACCTCTTTTCCCTATGGATTATCAGAAATGTCAAAATGCTTCCCTCAACCCCTTTCACTTATTGGGAAGTTCCAGCTTTCATAGATTCCAATCAGGCTGCAGTTGCACCTGCTTGACTTTTCTCCAGCGAAAGATGAAAATGATTTATTGGTGAGAAACGCCGCAACCGCGTGCCAGCCGAGCTTCCAGGGTTTTTTAGAGTCACTCATTAGTCACCAAGTTTGTCGAGGAGAATAAATGCACTAATACGAATAACGGCTAGACCCTGTAAATCATTGCATGAACGAAACACGCAGCGAATGTTTCGATATTATGAAGAGAACAATTCCATGGCGCATTCCAAACTGACTGATAAGCATGCCACCCTCTGTTTTAAATCCCTGACTCCGCTCGATAATTTTTTGCATGATCCTCTTCTTTCTCAAGGACACGCTATTTTCTGAGTTGAGCGTGGAATAATTATATTCTGCCAACCATTTTTAATTCAATTTCACTTCCATTCTTCGTTTCTCAGCGCAGGGTAATTTTGAAGCTTTTTTGTGCAACTGAGTTTGCATGAAAGCGGTTTGAAGTAAGGGCAAACGCGGCACTTCGAGGAAAGACGACGCCATCACATGAAGGGGTGGTTAACTAAATGAACGCTGACGAGGACCATCAATTTTACCTCCTTGCACGCGCCTATAAGATGTGGGTAAAACTTTTGCGGTCGATCAACTCCCGAAGTGGCAATCCGGATAAGTTTTGGCAGCTTTGCCCTCAAGATGTGGGCTTCTAACGTTGTTTTACTTTGGGCAGCTGATCAGCAAGTTGGTGCGGCGCGTCCAAAAATCAACACCCCTCACAAGCTATGGACGAGCCATGCAGCGGCCGATCCAACACAGTGAGTCCGAACAGCGTGCGGGCTTAATGGTTATTTTACACAAATTAGCCTTTCTTCAGCCGATCTACTCATCTATTGTCTTCCACTGAATAAGTTCGCTGTTTTGGACGTTATGAGAGTCTTGGCAACCTCAATGCGCGCTTGAAATCGGTGACCTAACTACAACGTCGGCAACCCGGCCAATGTGTCCCGATTTCCCTGACAAGCAGAAAGTCGACACGAAATACTATTTCTTTCTAGTTGTTTTATCGGAACACTAATTGTGGATGAGTTACAACTGTGGTCGGCAGGTGGTGGTAAGCAGCGACTATTGCACACGTGCGATCTAGTGGTGAATCATTCAAAGGCAGTTGGCACGATGGTTCCTACTTAGCCTAAAATGCTAGTAGGGCGCTGTATAGTGGGGAAATGGCGAAAGAACGGAGTGAAACGGTCAAAATCCTGCGAAGAAAAAGCCTCCGTTTCAGTGACTTGTAAATCGATTTCGGACGAGTTTCCCGTAGGCATCTTACCAATCACCGCTACCGAAGATACGGCTGCATATGTGTACCCATGTATGCATGCAGCATCACGGCCGCTTCATACCAATCCCTTCGCTTCATATTTTGCTAGCAAATGAATGAATACGAGCGTCAGGAACGGTCGTCCATTTGTGGACGGGCGGGCGTGGCGGGCGTTTGGGACGTAAAGTTGTGGCTTGATAGGGCCCTTATAAGGGCACCTTCCCTCGGGGAAACCGCTATGCAGCGCCTGCCCAGGTCATGCGGAATCTACCCTGCGAGGAGTA